GGTTGTACCAAATAAAAAACCACGAAACATATAAACATGATGGATTTGATTTGATAACACGTAAACAGAAGCTGATTATAATCATTAGGAACGATAGGAGTGGGGTAACCGCCGTTTGTTTACATCTTCTAAAGATTCCCTCAGGCTCCATGCCATGCGGAACAATGAACGTTAAAATGAGGTTAAAATCACATTGCAAAAAGAGTACGAGACAGAGAAAAAAACAAGAAGAGAAGCAACAACATCAATCGTAAAATTCGACACTCACCCTCTGATGCTGACCCGGCGTATGGCACACGACGTAGAAGCAAAAACACGATAGAATGGCCAGAAACAGCTGGGATTTAAAGGCCCATAATCTGCAACGTAAGCAATGGTGTCAGTCGGCGGTCACGCAAAACGGCTGAAATGAAACAGAAGCCTATACCTGCAGCCGTAATCCAACGACAGACATATCAACTCTCGGAAGAAGTAGTACACGGTTTGCATAGGCTTCCGCCAGAGAACGATTGTCTGCCTCTCCAAGCGGTTCAATGTGTTCATGCTCGGAACCGGTCGCATTCCCTTACCCGACGGATGAAGGTAATAATGTCGCAAAGGTCTGATGTAATCACCGGACAGGCACTGATCCACTACGCTAGCAGGACTAGCGGGCGATGGTAACACGCTTTGGTCATCACTACTTGAGAGTTCAAAGGACACAGCCTTCTTCGCACCGACCCTCTGAAACGTGACCTCGTGGTCTGTCATATTATTCAAATGGTGCTTTTTATTCCGACGGCGAAACCTCACCATTACGCGATACCCCGGCTCGGCTGCCCATATAAATTACACGGCACCATCAAGATGACTAGAACTACGTTTACTAAATCCTGCAAATCAAAATTATTGTTACAGTATCCCAGATATTTGAATGGTTTATTCGTATTAGAGCAGTGGCTGTTTTTCAAGAAACAGGAGGATTTGCGAATTGATTTTGGAACAAAAGTTTACAGTTACTAGTTTTTTTTAATAAATGCATCTTTGTAATTAAATAAATAGTTTAGTTTAGATGCAAAAAATGCGCAACCACTGTAGAATCCGCCGAAGCAAGATTAGCAATGATCTTGTATCTCAAGGCGGAAATGCATATGTGGGCAGGATAAAACTTGTAGTAGATTTTGTTTACTTCCGTAAAACGAAGCAACCTGAAAAGCAAAAGACATGCAAAAAAATTTCGATCAGCGAGGATTCCTTTGTTACAAGATTAAATGACGAATACTTGTATGCCATTTGAAGATATGTCTGTTTGCAAATTCATCATGCTCTTCATTTTCATCTTTCATGGCCGCTTTTCCTTTCGGGTTGCGGAGGCAAACTCGTCAGAAAGTGCTTTAGCGTTCCCGATTCGAAGCCAGAGTTTGAAATTCGGCGGCTGGAATCTGAACTAGATTCCTTCCATATATTGGCACCAGGTTAATATTGGACGTCCCCTGGGCCTTCTACCGGTTGGTTTAGCGTGCAATAGTTGTTTGTCATCCTTTCTGATTGAATTTATAACACCTATCCAAACCATCGCATCTGTGACTTCCCAATCTGAAGAAGCAGTGAATGTGCACCAGGACTCTTGCAGATTTCTATACTCTTGCAACGGTGCACTAATTAACAAATCATTCAAATATACATCGGAAAAGGCACGAACTTGTCGCCAACACAGACCTCTTCTTTCGAATAATGAGACTGGTACTATTTCAAGTCTGACACTGCCCGCAGGTGGCTCGCCACCATGAGATACAATATCGTTGCGTATTTTGCTCCGGATTTGACAGTGCTTGCGCAAATCCGAATTGAAAAATTTAAATACATTTATTTAAATATACTATTTGTC